AAACAATATTTATTCGAGGAAATAATATTTATAGTATGGGAAGATTATTAAATACATTAGCTAAATATGTTGAAATAATGGGTAGTTCACAATATGTTTTTACATCAGGTGGAAGTGAACGATCAACACCATTAATTAAACATCGACAATCAACATCTAATTCATCTCAACCACATATTTATTCTGATGTTGATGCTTCATCATCAGCTATTAATATGGCTCAATCAAATGGTATGTTACAAAAAGAAACGAAAGGAAGTTTTATTAAAAAAAAAAATGTTTTTTTTTCTTTTGCTTATAGAAATTTATTCCTCATCAAGTATAAAATCAATTCCTGCTAATCACCATTCAATATCAAATGTAAAAACAACTATTTATCATAATGCATCAAAATTACATGATAATGATTCTGATGATCGAGCATTTATTTTACCAACACGTCGATTAATAAATGATACAAATAATACATCTACTCAACAAAATATAACATGTACAAATGAAACATATGATAGACCAAAATCATTTGATAATATTGCATTAATTTCAACATCAATCGATCGAAATAATAATCATGTTTTTGTACCACCACAACGAAATGATAAAACTAAAAATGAAGATAAAAATAAGTAAGTTTTTAAAATATTTATGTTTTTAATCAATATTAATTGACATGATTTAGTTATTCGAAATCTCATTCATCACCAAAAACTATTCCATATTCTAATCGTTCAAAATCAAAATTATCTCATTCAAATACTTCATATGATCCACCATCATCTCCTGAAAATACAGTTTTTTGTTTACGTTCATCAGATTCATCATCATCTCATCATCGAAATTCTCGTCGTCGTCCAAATCCATTACCACGTCGTACATCAACACAAACAACACCAACTGATTATGTTAATAAACTTGCTAATCTATTTACAAAAGGTTTTTCTACACCGTCAACATCAGTATCAACTTCAAATGAACATCATATTGGTACACAAACCTATGATACAATCTCATCTCAATTACCATCTCATTTAAATACAAATTATATTCAATCATCAATGACAACTGATAATATACGTCCTATTTATAAAGAACATGTATGATAATTTAGTAAAAATAAAAAAAAAAAAATTTGAAATTCTTTTGTTTTCTTTTAGTCAATGCCTAAATGTGTTTATGATATTCCAATAACAATTGAACGTCCAATAAAACGTGCAATTACATCATTTGATCAATATCAAAAACCAAATATCCGAAATTCTCGAAGTAATGAACCAATATCATCATATCAATCAAATAATTACCAAAATAAAGAACAAAAAGAAATAGAAAACGAAGAAGAAGAAGAAGAAACACCTTATGCTCAAGGTTATGATAATTTAGCAAAAAATGATGGTATTGGAAAATTTCGTTTTGTTGTTCCATTTAATCATAGTCCAACATCTGCTTTTATATCATCAAAATCAACAATAAAACCAATAAATTCACCAGTAAGTTCATCATCATCAACAATGAGTTCTTATTCAACAATACGTCAAGCATCATTATCATCAAATAAAAATTCAACCGTAAACAATAATAATTCAAACCTTCGATCGACATTGATGACAGCCGTTTAGAATCATATTTTTGTTTTTTTGCTCATTTATCTTTCAAGTATCGAACTTATTTTATATTTGTAACAGTATCATCATTCACATATGTTCTTTTCAGTGTTTTCGTTTTTTATGCAAATCATTTCTTTTTTTTTTTTTGTTCTCGCTTCATATTTAGTGATAGAGCTTGTGTTTGCACCAGTTCATTTTCGTTTCTTTTTTGTCTATCATCAACATTCTGTTATATGTTGATGTCATGTATATTTTGGAAAAAAAAAAGCAAACTCAGAATGATATAACAACAAAAAAAAAAAAAGAAACGAATTCTATCTCAGAATTTTGTTCTTTTTTTTTGTCAGATATATAAACAATTTGTGAAGAAGAAAAAACAATAATTGGAACAGTTGAGGACAAACTGAAATGTCCGGTTATTGTGTGTGCTTACCGTTTTTTTTTCTTTTTGATTGAAGAAAAACATCCACCTTCGTACGTTTTTATTCATATAAAAATCAAGAAAAACGTTAAAAACTTTTCTTGATTTTTTTTTTTGTCCTTTTTTTGTTTGTTTTAGATCATTTTTTTTTTTGTTGGTCGTTGGTATTAATTAATATGGTAGGTTTTTATATTCATTTTTTTATTCTTTGAATGACAACATACGATCTTATTTTGAATTAACGGAAAAATGAAAAACGATCTAAAAAGGAGTGTTGGAGTGTAAGGGCAAAATTTGGAGTTCTTCTTCCATAGTGTGCATTTTCCGCATGACAAGCGGTTATGTGACTCTCTTGCTCAGAAGCTATTGTATATGACGCAAAAAAACTATTTTTAAGAAAAAAAATTTTTCTGACGATCGGTGCAGTTTAATGCGCTAATTTTGAATATATCCTTTTTTTTCCTATTAAATATTTTTTTAGAGCCAGAAAAATTAAAAAGTATCTGAAGAACATAGGTTTTTTTGAAATACACTTTGCCGTCCAAAAATGTTTCCGTTAACAGTAATTAGAGTTGACAAAGTGAAGAACATTCTGGCAAAAATTGGAAGCTGGATGAGGATTGGTTGCTCATTTTACAGGACTATTGGTTTGCACAACATTAGAAAACAGAATTGATCTCTGTTTTTCTCATAAGTTAAACGTGCAAATTAAAAAATATTTTTGATCATTGCATGAAGCTTGACTTGCAGATTCAGAAAATCTACTTATTTTGTATAACAATTTTCAGGCTAAGTTTTGGGCAGCTAATTATTAATTTTCTTCAAGGGCTATAACACAGTTATTCATATGATTAAATAGACTATATTTCGAAGTATATTTCCCTATAATTAAATTTTGGAAAAAGCACAATTGCCATCTTTAGCAAAATGTTCCAGTAGATGCACACTGTATCCACCGTTCTCCACATGATAGACTATGACAGACATTGATATACGATGACAAACTGTACTGTATATCAATTACATTTTGTTATAATAAATGAACTATTTTCTTATGGTATTTCTAAAGGATTAAATCTTTTTATGATTAGTGAGAATAGCTACATCTTGTACTACAGTTTAATCTGACTGGGATTGCACTTGTATCTTTTTACTTTGGAATTATGTCGATGTCTGTTGTATGTATTTTGATGCAATAATAAAAATCTTTACAAATTCTTAACATCGAGTTTGCAAGATATAAAATAATACTTGTCTTTTGTTTAGATTCAATTTATTTTATTATTCAGTCGACAAGGTAAACTTCGTCTTCAAAAATGGTATACATCACAAACGGAAAAATCAAAGAAAAAAATAACACGTGAATTAGTCGCAACAGTTCTTTCACGTAAACCAAAAATGTCAAGTTTTCTTGAATGGAAAGATCTGAAAGTAGTTTATAAACGGTATGTAAGACTTTATTTTAATTTTCGAATAAATAACATGTTACTGACTTTTCTTTTGTTTTACAAAGATATGCTAGCCTTTATTTTTGTTGTGCCATTGAACAAGAAGATAATGAATTATTAACACTTGAAACAATTCATCGTTATGTTGAATTACTTGATAAATATTTTGGCAGTGTAAGTAAATCTAATTTCATTTCTTATATATATAAAACCATGTGAACTACATAGGTCTGTGAACTTGATATTATATTCAATTTTGAAAAAGCTTATTTCATATTCGATGAATTTATATTGGGTGGTGAAATACAAGAAACAAGTAAAAAAAGTGTACTCAAAGCTATTAATGATCAAGATGTTATTCAAGAGGTAAGTTATGTTTTTTATTTTTTTAGAAATTCGTTGAATTTTTAAGTGAAAAGCATATTCACACACATCTACATATAAAATATAGTAGCACAAAAATAGATAAGAAATAATTTCATACATACACAATAAATTAAAACACACATTTGCTACATATAATTCACAGGATGATCAACTACAAGAAATACTTTATGAATACGGATTGCTTTGATTATTCTGTTTTTCATTGTTATATAATGATTATTATTTTCTTTATTTTCGATAATAAATTATTAGAGGGCGATTTTTTTTTTTTCGTTTTAATTCTTCTTCTTCTTCTTCTTCTTTATATAATAATTGATAAGAACAATGAAATCATACGCATATCTTTACGCTTTACAGTTTTTCCTCTGTGTCTATCTATTTCTAGGAAGAAACGCCACAGGGCTTCTTCGAAGATCATGGTCTTGGATAATGAATTCTGCTATTATAATGATATATATATATACTATATAACACCCATACACACTTTTGCATGTGTTTTTACTTTTTTTTTTCTGCTGCTTCTTTGCCATCATAGTTATATTATTAATTGATTTTTTGCGTTTATTTTATTTAGTCAGATTAAATATTTGCAAAAGAAACCGCTTTTGTTCTTCTTTTAATTGTCGTCTCCAATACCAGTTGCATTTCTCTGTGTTAATTTAATTTCGATTTTTTTTTTGTATTTCACATACACACTTATACATGAAATAAAAAAGAACACAATGTGCATGACAAGGACATCATTTTATGCTTTTGATGTACATAGATGTATTTGTGTGTGAATAAGCTTTCTTGACATGGAATTAGTTCTTAGCTTAACAATTCTAATTGATTCTCTTTTGTTTTGGTTTTTTTTTTTTTTTTTTGAATATTTTAGGAAGAACTTGAAGAAAAACGTAGTGTTCTGGAAGATCTTGGCTTGGCTTAAAGAATGAACAAAACATCTTTTTTTTGTTTTTAATCCTAATGTGAATGTGCTTGATTTATTGATCTCATATCCTTTTGTTGTACGTTCATATTGTGCTTATTTAATTTTTTTGATTGTCTCAAAATAGAGAAATGAAAATAATAAAAATCTGACTGATTATATTCCAGAAAAATTTCGATGATTTAATTAATTATTTGTTTTTAGTTAAAGAAATGATTCGAAATTTATCAATTAATCGATTTTATCATTCATTGAGAATATTGGGTATTGAAACGAGTTGTGATGATACAGCAGCAGCTGTTGTTGATAGTCAACGAACTATTCTAAGTCAAGCATGTCGAAATCAATTGAAATATCATCAACCATGGGGTGGTATTGTACCAAGTATTGCAAAAAATCATCATTATGAAAATTTAGTACCAGTTGTAGCTGAAGTTATGAAAGATATTGAATGGAATGTGAGTCGAATTAATATGTAAAATCGATTTCAAAACAAAAATAAACATACTTTTAATCCTCTGAGTACCACTATACATTAGAATGTATGATTTTTTTTCAAGCTTCTTAATTCTTGAACAATCCACGAATGCAAAATGGTCTCGACGAGACTTCGATGCATGTATCCATATAAGTATTATTACTCTAATGAGGTCATTCAGGTAGTTAGCCTGACAAGTTTTTGGAACACTATCTCTTGTGTAAAAAAAGTAAATAGGCGAATTATGTCCTTTTGTGATTCCTAAACTATTTCTATTGTTTATGTTGGAATCAGGTTAAGAGTGGCTTTTGGTATTATTCCAAAGCTTGGTTTGGCGACAGCTCTCAGATGAACTTTTGACCCATACCTGTACTTTTCCACGGGAATGATCAAAATACTTCTTCATCTCTTTAGAAAGTACGAGCATGAATTGAAAATGACTTTAAAGATTTTTCTAAAGAGTTTTAATAATAATATCAATGATATACACTGCTCATATAAAATATGAAATCTCAAAAAAATTTCGTCAGTTAGTTGAGCAATAATAATCAAAGAGTTAAATTCATTGTAAAATGAAGGAACTATGTTTATTTAATTTTGAAATCCATTCTATTGACATATTTCATAGAATTCTTATTTAGTCTAGACAATATCTGCAATTGCTACAACTGTTAAACCCGGTCTTGTTATTTCACTTTGGCAAGGAATAAATTTTACTCGACAACTTCTTCAAAAGTATACACATCTATCATTTATTCCCATCCATCATATGGAAGCACATGCACTTACTGTTCGTTTGACACATGAGTATGATGTTTTTTTTTCTTTTTCAATGAATGGATATATATTTCTTTCCTTTGCAGTGTACCATTTCCATATGTGGTTTTACTGGCAAGTGGAGGTCATTGTATTTTAGGTATTGTGGAAGATGTTGACAAGTTTTATCGACTTGGTGAAACGAAAGATATTGCACCTGGTGAAGCATTTGATAAAGTTATTAAAACACTTTTTTTTTTAAAATCATACTTGAATATTTAAATATTTTGTATATTAAATATAGAGTGCACGTGAAATGAAATTACACGAACATCCACTTGTTCAAGATATGGCTGGAGGAGCAGCTATTGGACATTTAGCACGTGAAGGCGATGAAAAACGATATCAATTAATAACATCGAAATATTCAGCTAAAATGAAAGATTGTTCATTTAGTTTTGGTGGTATGTTATCACAAATTCGACGAGTCATTGAAAAAGAAAGTATTTATTGTGGTATATACACTTTCATCTCTTATTTAAAACACTAATAATATTGATATTATTATACACTACAGGATCATCAAATGTAGATGAACAAAAACTAAAAGATTTTGCAGCATGTATTCAAGCAAGTATTGTCAGACATATAGAAACACGTGTACATCGAGCGATATTATTTTGTGATACTATTCAAAAACCACAATGGAAACGAAGACTAGTATGTCAACAGATTAGAAATTTATTTTAATATATCTATTTTAGGTTCTAGCTGGTGGTGTTGCAAGTAATTTATATCTTCGACAACGAATAAATGAATTATGTACTCATTATGGAATTGAACTTGTTTGTCCACCAGTAGAATTTTGTACTGATAACGGTGTAATGATTGCTTGGTAAGAATTATATATTTTTGTTTTTATACGTCAGATTTATTTATTATTTTCACAGGAATGGTATGGAACGATATCAACGAAATTTGAATGTATTTGAAAGAATGCCTGAGATTCTCGTTCCTGAAAGTCGATCACCATTAGGTTCAGATATTAGTGAACAAGTGCGCACATGTGATCTTAGTGTACCATTCGATTGGAAAACTATTCTTGAAAAGCAACATATATTGTTATGATGCAAAAATCAATAAATAAAAGGAAATAACAAACTTGAAATTATCTTAAAATTTGATCGATTCGATGAATTCATCAATTGCAATTATAGTATGACATAAGAAAAGTGCCTAAACTAAAACATTTTTCTAATTTTATTCAATTTAATGTATTTTCTTAAAAATCTCGAACAATATTGATTTGATCTTGCTTTGATAAATCACTAAAAATTCTATTGACACAGATTGGTTTCATTTATTTTTAAATTTCTATCTTCTCAAAAATTTGATGGCATTTAACAAGCAGTACATTCAAACGTTGTCAGCTACATATTGAACTGACATAAAATTATTTTATATAGTAAAAATTTATTTATCTTGAATGCGAACAAGATATCAAAGAGTGATGATGTGAATTTGAGAAGATAAATGAATTTTATTGCTAAAATTTAATCCGTGCGATGCGTAAGATAAAAACACAAGTTCTTGTGCTTTTCGAAAAAGTTTCTCAAGAATATTTGATGTCAGTCAGACGAATATTACATAAATCAATAGAGATACAATTCTTTAACAAATCATTTATTAATGAGACAATATCCAATATTTTAACTAATTAAAATTTTCTAGAGAAAACGAAAAACAAAATGTTTCTATAAAAACTTCTTGGAAAATCATCAGTTTTTTCAGTAATGACAAATACTAAGTGCTATTAAAAATATATAGTTCGATAGAAAAAAACAGCTTTTCTATTTACTTGTACAAAAATAAGAAAATTTCCGTGCTCATGTAAATTATCGTTACCGCAGCAAACAAATGAAATATCGAATTTTTAAACTGCTCTGAGTAAAAAATCTATTTTCAGTAAATTTAAAAAATGATCAAGTTTTTAAACAAAATAGAGTTTAGAGGAAATAAAAATCGTGTGATTGAGCGGAGTAATTAATATTTCATCTAACTATATCAAAATAAGAAACTTATAAGATTTTTACAGAAATACAACAGTGTAAACCAAACTATCAAATTTAACCTAGTTAACCTATGATTCTGTTTAGTGTGCAGTGATTAGAGGTGTAAGCCGTGCGGCTGAGCCGCCGTCGCCGCCGACAGACTCAAAAAATTTTAAGCCGCCGCCGCCGTGACAGTAGCAATTTTGGAAATTTTTAAGCCGTCGCCGCTGAGACACTTTAATTGCAGCCGCCGCGTCGCCGATGGTATTCAAAATTTTAAAATTTTCGAGCCGCCGCCGCCGCTGGCAACTAGCATAAATAAACGTTTTATTTATATTTTCTTTAATTCGGTACTTTGACATCTTTGAATCCCAATAAATCTCTTCTTCATTATCTTCCTCGTCTTCAACTTCACTTTCGTGCTGGTTCTTTGACCAGTCAGGTGCTTGGGGTTCTAAATTGTAAACAAACCCTTAATTCTGTGTTGGTTGAAAATTCTAAGTTATCATTTCAGTTGTTTATGTCTTTATATTAGATATATTAATAAATACAAGAAGAGACGAGCATTTTAAATTTTGATTAACAAAAACAAAATAAAAACAACAAACTTGAATACGCTAAGTGCCTTTACTTATTAACAATCGTGGTGGTGATTTTTCATTTATTATTTACCCTAGCAATTATATTTATTTTTAATTTTAGACTTTTTTTTTTTATTATGTCTAGATGTGAATTAAAGTTTTTCCACATATGTGTTTGAAGATAAAAAGGCCGAGATATTGAAATAGGCCTTGTCTACACTAAAAATTTTGATGGTAAATTAAGAAACATGATTGGTTAAACAGTTAATAAACATTTAAAACACTTTTATAAAGTGCAATAAATTTATTGCACTATTCAGAACCACATTAAAGTTGATGCACCAATCAAAGTCTGATTGGATTTTTCAATGAGCGATTCCTCTATGATTGAAGTGAACAAAAACTACGATTCATTTCAAAGTCAAGGATTCTGATTGATGCATTAACTGACAAATGTAGACACGAATTGATTTAATACGAATTGAATACTGCATTATCCTCCTCGTGTAGACAAGGTTATAGACTAATTTATTTATGATAACGTAGTACTTTTTAAACTTCAAGCCGCCGCCGCTGAGACACTTTAATTACAGCCGCCGCGCCGCCGATGGTATTCGAAATTTTACAATTTTCGAGCCGCCGCCGCTGTGCAATCTTGAAATATCAAATCTGCGCCGCCGAGCATTTTAAAAAAATTTTAAAAAACTGGCGCCGCCGCCGATCAGCCTATCGGCTTACACCTCTAGCAGTGATTATGGAGTTTGTCTGCTCTTATTTTAAGCGACTAGATAATCACTATGGTCACTGATCAATCGACTAAACCTTCGCAATCGAAGTAAGCAAAATAAACGAATTTTAGTCTAGTTATCTCAATAGCAATTCTAAGTCAAAGCGATCAGTCACGTAGAATACACGTACGTTCTTCAATCGATCTATTTCTCAAATATTTGTCGATACAAGTTGTATTGAATTATTTAAATAACTTTCTATTAATAGAACTGACGTAAAAAGTAGAAAACAGTATTTCAAACAATTGATCGAAACCCATTTGAGTTTTGATAAAATACTTGATTTTCAAGATAGCACTATTATTATTGAATCAATATTTCGCCGAAAAAAATCCCTGAAAACTAAATTGAAACTACAAGCAAGTCAAATAAACTCTTATAAAAAAAACAAATATTAATTATTCATTAAAATAACATATTCTTGAAACGTCTATTTATGGCACATTGGAAAAACAAGCAAATTCTTTCACTGCTTTTCTTTATTTAGATTTGTCTGAACTACAAAAACATATACTTATCAAGTTTATACTTGTCTGTCACTCTCGAATAACAGATGAAAGTATTTAAGAATATTGATAGGCATTCAATCATGATAAATATATGCTTGAAATCTCCACTATTCACTCCATACCAACAAATTGAGTCGGTCGATACCACAATACTTTACTTTGTGCATTTCAAAAGGATAAACGTTGAGCAATGTTTTAAACGCTTTAATTTTCTAAACATGTTAAAATAACAGTTGATTTAACATATAAATCAACTTATTTTTATCGCGATTCCAAGTACAAGAACGAAGAATATGTGACATGATTTTCGTATATCTTGTTTGCAGTTCATACAATCAAAGTTGATTGAATCAGTACCTAGTTGGGAATAACTTTGAAAAACATTCTTTTACCCTAAAATCTTGGTCGCCGTTTCATGAGCACATATAAAACACACAAAAAAAAGATAAATATGATCATATTTTGAAGATATTTTATTGATGAAATTTCTCATCACAATTTTCGTTGTTTCTTCAAGCCTATGGAAAATAGAATAGAAAAGAGTTTCTTCGATAGTCAATTCCCTTCTGAGAAATATATCAGAATAGATTGCAATAAGAAGCATCATATAACATGTATTTTTATAGAATTGTAGAGATTTTTAATACTACTTTTAAACATCTTGTTAGAAATTTGCAAAGAGATGTGCTAGTTTTTTTTTTAATTAGATAGAGATGCACATAAATATACTTGCTAAGTTATATTTATCACAGAATAAACACTACTCTTCAAAACTAAATTTCATACTTTTGACAGATTGTCTTATTCATTGATATTAGTTCTATTACTAGCTATAATATATTATATTAATATACCAAAACAAAGCTCGCATGATCCGTAGTCTTTTTAATTTTCTTTGATAGATGTGTATGTTGTTATTAGAAGAATATAAATGAACTTCTGTTTCGTATACTACATAGAATGTCAAAAAAACAAAAGTAATTTGGTACACAAGAACTCTACCATATTATTCAAAAGTTATTAATAGTCATTGCAATCAGTCAATATCGATGTTTCTTCTTTGTGTAAAAACTGTGCATAGAAATTCATCTTTATGATCATATTATAATGCTATCAATATATTTAGTATCTTGAATCATTATACATGAAGTATTCACATACTCAATGCCTTTATGAATTTGAGATCAACTTTTCAATGAAATTTAAAAAGGACGTTTTTTTGATTGTGCAAAAAAAAAATCTTTCATAAATATTATGCATCATATTTTTATTAATTAGATTTGACATGAAGACTTTTATTGCTATTGAATTTAGATCGAGTTTTATTTGTTCATTTTTATTTCTTGTATTCATAAGTTATCTTTGAAGTTTTTCATTTACAATTGACATGAACATGAAACAAAATTACAATTACACAACACAAAAGAAAATATTTGTAGTTGTCAAAAATAAAATCAAATAATAAAAACCAAACTATACCAACTGACAAAAAAAAACATCTACGATGTAACTTCACTCACTAAGAAAAATGTCTAATAAGAACTTCTTGTTTTTATCAAGTTCATATTAATTTTTAATTTAAATAATAAATGATTAATTTATTTATTGATTTTTTTTTCTAAATACTTTTCTTAATCCTTTCGGCATCACTAATTCATGATCTTTATTATTTTCTTGTAATTGTATATCTTGTATTGCACATATAAATAATGTATCAACAGCCATTGAATAAACTGAAAAGAAACATGTTGTAATAATATATGTACCAATAATAATTAATAATAATGGTATGAAATAATATCGTAATTCTGGCACATATTTTTCTGCTTGTGCAATTCGATGTGTAAAAAAGAAAAAAGCAAGAATGCCAATACCAGCTGTAATACATAGTTTACCAAGAAATATTAAAAAATCACATACTTTATCAATAACAAGTAAACGAAGAGGATTTGATACAATTAAATGAAAAGCACGTCGTGCCGATGTAAAAAATCCTGTTCCATAAATAGCTGTTATAATATAAGCATTACGATTAAGAAATTTTAAGAATTTTTCCAAACAAAATAAACAACAACGACAACAACAAAATAAACAACGAGCAATAGTACCAGTTTTATCTTTAACTTTTTCTTCCACATATTCAAGTATACTGCGAATAAGTTTAACTATTGCTATTATCAATGAACCAAATGCTATTGT